GCGTACCACAGGTCGAACGCAATGCATGGGAACCCACCTGATGTCTCATGACTTTCCCCTCCTGAACTATGATGGTCCCTTCTTGAACGGCAAGCTACACAGTGGGAACACCAGCTCTTGAATGGCACATGTGTCAAGCTGTGTAAGGCCACCTCTTCTTCAGAAGGTGTAGGCGGAGTCGATTGGGCTCGAGGTTCATGTTCAGGCGGCTTGGTCGCCTGTTCGAGCGACAGAGAATCCTCAAACTTTCTGCGTTTCATGTGTCCAAGCAACCTTCGAAAGAGCTGGGCCTTTGAACCTGAGGTGCCGATGCCGAGGGAAGTGCAGGCAGCCTTCAGGGCTGCCCCGGTAGAATCAGGGCCAAGTCTAATTCCTTCTACTTCAACATGATCGTCACCGGGACCTTGAAGCATAGCACCAGGAGGAGCAGCAGGAGCTTGAACAGGGGGTTCATCCTCTTGTTGTGGCATGGGAATGTCAATGACTTCAGGCTCAGGAAACTCAGGTGCCTCGGATGGTTCCGGGGCCTTGAACTTGAACTCGCTGAGGATCTCGATGCCGAGCCGATCAGGGGTTGCCTCCGTCCGGGTCATAATGGTCAAGATGGGCACTGGTCTGATCACACCGGGTAACAATTCCTCCAAGGACTCGCAGTACTCCAGGGGCTCCTGAAATTCGCACATCTCCCACTGATCTCCAATCTTGATGCATGTTGTGCGGAACCTCCAAAGCTGAATGCCCATCTTGGGCGAGGGATCAACGAAGGTCATGCCGGTCGTGAGGATGGCAGGCTCACCGCAACTCAAGAAACCCCATTCCCCATCAACATGGTCAAGAGGGAAGTTCAGCTTCACATGCACTCTCTCTGCAGCGATGGGCCTGACTTCATATTCGGGCTCTGAGGCTGCAACCAGGTGAACACTTGCTTGAACAACCAAGCTGTTCCGCTTGAATGAGATCGGGATCTCGACCTCTTCGGATGCATTGCATAAACACAAGCCACCTTGGCGTTGTTCGATGCTCCAGCCTTGCCTCAACAGGCGTCCTAAGGACATTAGCGGCGCCGAAACCGCCGATGCATAGAACTGCTCCTGGACGCAGATTGATCCAAGGTCCAAAGTGATCACCCGTGAACCTTGACAAGGCATTGTGTGCCCTTGAGCATCCTGCATGCGCACTTTGCTGTCAGCAACAAGACCATAGCCCTGCTCTAACCACCTCGCCGGCATCACCGAAACATCAGCCCCACTATCAAGCACAATCTCACAACAATTCGAATCGTGTTCCCATGTGTCCGATGCCTCCGAATGCTGGGTCACTCCGCGCACCAACCATTCGAGGTCGCTGGAGTATGTGTCCGTGGTTGTCATGTCATGCACTATGTAGCTGTTCATCTCACACTCGATGACCTCATCATCGTCTTGTTCAAGCAAGTCATAGCACTGTACAACCCTACACCACCACGAATCTATGCTCCCACACTCCGACTCATCTTCAGCGATCGTGTAAATCGAGGTCTCGGGAACATGGTCATCAGCAGTGAGATTGAATACTCGCTTCACGGACGCTGTGGCAGAACTTGACACGGAACTGGCCGAAGAGCTAGGAACCGAAGTTGAGCAATCCTCCGAGACGTTCTGAACCCTGCCATTGTTCATCCAGCACTCGTTGCCCCAATGACCTGACTTTCCACAGATACGACATGCGTTGGGGTCCTTGCCCTGGCCTTTGCCCTTGGGATTTCCTTTGGACTTGCCTTTGTCGCCCTTGTTGCCCTTGTTGTCGTTGTGCTTGTTGTGGTAGCCTTTGCCCTTGCCGTTGTCTGACCAACCACCTTTGTTGCTCCAACTCCCCTTCGACGACCATCCCGACGACCATCCACCCTTGCCTTGGTAGTGCTGATAGCCTGAGCCTTTGCCATACTTCCCACCTGACTTGCCCTTATCGCCTTTGGAGTGGCCCTTGCCTTTGCCTTTGTCCTTACCCTTGATGCGATCGACTTCCATTGGCGCACTGGTATCGGAAGAGGTAGATGTAGGGGTAACCAGGCTTTGGGTCCATTTCTGAGTGTTGCGCTCCCAACGAACCACTGTCTCACGCAAGGTGTCGTATGAACAGTCTTCACTGCATGTCATGGAAACATGTGTCTTGACTGACTGTGGCAACGATCGCAAAAGCAGCGCACTCTTGAGCTCCTTCGGTACTTCACTCCCTGCAGCTTGCTGGTACTTCCGAAACAACTCCTCGAGCCGCAAGAGCTGCTCGAGGACATTTGCGTTGCTCATTGCCGGGAACTGAGTGATCGCTCCGAGCAGCGCCAAGGATCGAGATTTGGAAGCTGGTGCCAGCGTCGCAGTCAAGATCCTCCATCCCTCAAAGCCGTTCCCTTGCTCTGCAGATCGAAGGAGTTGAAGAGGACGCTCACGCAGCAAAGTTGTCAACAGTGCATACAATTTCTTTGCTTGGTTCTGGGCATCTGGTGATTGATTGATCAACAATGCAGCTTTTGACAAATCGCTCTCCACTTCATCTAGCATGTTACACATGTCTGCATCAATCGCTCGAAGGTACTGTTTGAACTGCCAAGACCACTCAGGAAACCCACTAATCTCCTCGTCACGGGTTTGAGGCTTGAAGATGTCGGG